AAACGCGCGCACAGGTATATGTAAGTATGTATGTATGTGTATGTATATGAAAGTAGTTACAATATATCATCTTTCTTTTTCCAATATTATGACGATATTTATTATACAATCTTTGTACTCATGAACGAAGGAGAACTCTCTCGGGAAGACGACGGAAGTGAAATTATAATTGGACAACATCACGAAACGCACTACTACGCTTCTCGTTCGAAAGGCTTCGAAACTTGCCGTTTCACCGGATGTATCGAACCATGTTAGAGACAGAGACTAATTTTCGAGAGTAGTCTTGTTCCGCGAGTAACATCATTAATGCAAACAAACGCATACACACACACATACACACACGTGCACGTTGCTGTGTCTCTCTTTTGCTCTTAGGTAGGTTCTTTGTTGAATTTAATTGAAATTTAGAATCAAAGAAGGCAAATGAAAATGATATGCAAAATAAAAAAGAACGAAAAAAAGAAAAAAAAGAAAAAAATTAAAAAATGTTACAAAAGAAATCAAAGTAAAAGGGACACATAAGATTTATTTTGGCTGACTTTAATAATAGTCTCAAGGAGATTCGCGAATGAAAAGAAGTAAATAAAGACAGAAAGAAGGAAAGTAAGGAAGGAAGGAAAAGGAAGGTGGTCCAACCAGATCGAGTGTAAGAACCGAAACAGGTGCTTGAGAATCCGGTGTGTTCTTCTTGGCGTGTGCCGACTAAGTATACTGGCTTAATAACGCACGCGGACCAACCGTATGGACGAGCAGCACGCACACATTAACATAAAGACAGGCCCCTGTATAGACGAGATGGTATCGATCAATAGCCGGCTACGTAACTAGTTATCGACGGATGGAACACCATGAAATTTTCGTTCATTTCTTTTCTTTTCCTTTTTTTTTTTTCTTCTTCTCCTCCACTCAGACATTAGGGACAGGGGGAGTTGATTATAAAGTTGAGAGGAACAGCAAAAATAAAAAAAATAAAAATGATAGAGAAAGGAAAAGAAAGTAAGCATCGAGTTTTTAGTATCGATTGATATACCCACACATAACACACACACACACACAAAGAAATTATTAAAAAATAAATAGAAAATATCGTTCTTCTTCCACATACGCGTTTTTCGTTTTATCAATTATAATTTCATTATATTACCAGGCAAAAGAGTTATTATTGTTATTATCATCGTTATTATTATTGTTATTATGTAGGTATGATTCTTTGATAATTAATCGGCAAAATATAATGGATATTTCAACGTATTCATTGAAAGGACATTTTATTTCGAAAACAAAATGATCTGTCTCGATAATTTCGTTTCAACGTTACGATGAATTATTAAACTCTATCGTTGAATAATTAAAATAGATAGGGAAAACGATATAATCACTATAGATCTGAATTATTAAACGTTAGCAAATAAACAACGATACCTATTCTATAATTTAGAAGTATTTGTTAATATTTTTTATTTACAAAAAAAAAAAAAAAAGGAAAAAAGAGGAAAAATCAAGAAAAATGATTCTTTCTTTGATTGGATTAGAATCAAGATGTTTTTGAACGATTAATGTTTAAAACAACGATCCGTTGTTACAATTGAGAGGTTGTTGCAAAAATATATTTATATCATCAATATAATTATATTTCAAATAAAATCTATTACTTTTACATATTAATTTATATATAATTACAATAACAAATTAAATTTGTTATGTATACATACAAATTTTCAAATAATTCAGTACTCAAGGGGTTAATTACTATAGTTTTGAATTATTAGATATCGAGAAAACACAATCAAATATCTTAATCTATAAATTGATCAAATATTTGCCAATACCTCAGAACAAAATAAAGAAAGATATTTCTTAGTGGTTTAGAATCAAGGATTGTCAGGAATTAGTGTTTCACTAGGGTCCGTTACTACGATCAAGAAGAAGAAGACTAAAAAAAATAAGAAGAAGAAGAAGAAGAAGCGTAGAGAGGTACATACACGAGCGGTAGCGTAATGGCGGGTAAAAGAGAGATAGATGGAAGGAAAGGTGGTGTATGTAGTGGGGATAAGGCCCAACGGCTAAGTCCCAAGCCCGGTGTAGTATATGGAGTGGGGCACGACAAAGGCACACGGGTAACGCAGGTGAAACGAGCGACCGTCTGTTCCGCAGACTGCGTTCGCACGGGCCCCTCGTTGTTGCGTCGTTGTCGTCTTAAGTCGTTTTCTTCATCGTTCTGATCATCATCATCATCATCTTTATCATCATAGTAGTCTTCTTCATCGTCATCATAATCGTTGTAGTTCTGTTAGTCGAACGAAATCAAACGCGACAAACGTGTACTACGTACTGTATATTAGCTGTAGTTAGGAGGAGTTCACAACGGAAAAGCTAACACACGATGGTCCTCCACCATAGTCACTGCCGGCTGCTTCTGGTACGGTGGTGGTAAGGGAGAGGGAAGGAGGGCCCATCGCGGTTCTCGGGCCTCAGTCAAGCGAAGCACGTCACCGTGTGTGTTTCGAGAGAAAGAGAGAGAGAGAGAGAGAGAGAGAAAGAAAGGAGATAAGAGAGGGAACAAGACCTTCTTCCTCCATATACTCTTTTATTCTCTTCTCTTTTCTCGCAAGTTTGCATTTTTATTTCCGCCGGAAGTATAATAAATAATGTTATTGTGTGATATTATTAAAGTATTAGATTACTAAATCTCACAATCATTGGATATATTATTGGTGGTTTTTGAGGAATTGGATAGAAATATTTTATAACTGGGTAGCGGAGGGGGGGAGGCATATCTACTTTTATTATACTTGTGTTGTGAGTTACATGCATGTGTACTTCTCTTACTGTGTATATATGTATATGTGTGTGTATGTGTGTGTGTATGTATGGTGGGTGGATATGTGTGTATACAAGTGACATGAAGAGTCAACGCAACTATACTAAGACACACGATAAGTCATGTTGAGCAGGTTCGAGCTACTTCAAGGGGCTGTCAGCTACCTTCTGTTATCAGGTGCGCGAAATCGATGCTTCTTGCTACATTCACTTTGTGTTTCTTTATTCGAGAATGTGCTGCAAGCTTGTAGGTTGAGAGATATCGAGATAGTCTCATAAATGTACACATACCTACATGCATAGGATAATTATAGTGTATAACACAGATAATAATAAAGAACGTTTATCGACGCTGCTTCATCGTTGTCTCGTTTTAACTCTACTATCATCTTAAATGATGATTATTATTATTATTATTAATACTACTATCGTGAAGAAAGGACAAAGGTATTATATTCTTTTACCAATAATCATTTCTTTTTCTTCCTTTTAAACGATCGATAAACGGCAAATCGTAATTCCGACTATTCAAGATATCAGTAAATACATATATATATATAGTATATAGTATATCAATACTATGTTTTGTAAATTGAACGGTTTCAAAGGCGATGGGGCATCAAAAGCAGTCATCGAATGACGTAGAGACTATCGAACAATGCAACCGCAGTATTCGCATAAATAGGTCACCGATGATACGATCTCGAGAATCGTAAACTCTATCGACGCGACGTTACGATGCTTCTTCATCGACGTTTTTACGTCTTCTTAGTAGTAGYAGAAACAGCAGTAGCAGTAGCAGTAGCAGCAGCAACGGTAGCAACTGCAACAGCAATACAACAGCAATGGCAGCATTCCTATGAGAGAAGAGCATTTATCCCCGCGCACAACTACACCAGAGAAACGATCATTCTGTTCCTTTATCTCTTCCATTAGACTTTTTTTTTTCGAAGTAAACGGACAAGCCTATTAACTCGAGAATCAAGTCGACTTTTTAAATACTTCCGATATCTCTTTTTTTCTCTCTCTCTCTCTCTCTCTTTTCGCATTCTCTTCTTCTTCTTCTTCTTCTTCTTCCTTTTCCGTCTCCCTTCGACAAATTAATTACTCCAGATTACATATCTTAACGAGTTATCTATTTTATAATACAATAATATCATTTAATTAATAGTACAAAATGAATAACGAAAAATGTATTCGTATTTATTTATTTATTTTTGTTATTTTTGTTATTTTTAATTTTTGTTTCTCATCTAATACGAGACTACTACTACTTGTTCCTTAACATGTAGAATATTATATTTATCGTTGAATATTTTCTCGGTGTTCAATCGATTAGACTGAAAGTGGCGGGAAAAGTTTTCCTTCCTTGTAAGAGTAGGTACTAGTAATAATGGGGAAAAAATAGTGGGGGATACCCTTCTGTAATCCCCATTCGACGGCTGTTCCGGTACACCCTTCGTTTTTATTTCTCTTTCTTTTTCTTTCCTTTCCTTTCTTTCTTTCTTTCTTTCTTTCTCTTTTTCTCTTTCAAAAATGTATATATATATATATATACACACACGTGAAGTAGTTTATCGTTGCAGCCAATACGAACCATCTACCACACACGTATTTTCTTTTTTTTTCTTTTCTTTTTCTTCCTCCTCATACTACCTTCGTTTCTCTGCCATTACACACTTCCGTTTTATCGTTCAAACAACGACAGAAAATTATTCACAGGAAGGTTTTTGTTCGAAAAGAATTTTCAAACTTCTTCTTCTTTTTTTTTGTTTTGTTGTTTTCTACGTCAAGGTCGAAATATGCATACATTCGAAAATAATAGTTGTGACAAATAAACTGTGGGTCGGATGAAGTTCGTTCATTTTAAACAAACGTTTATTATCTCATAATTTGTAAAACATTATTGTAGATATATAAATTGTATAATAGTTACGTTGTTCTATAATTTGATTTTGTTAATTTATAAAAAAAAAAAAAGAAAAAACACACGTCGAACTACGTGTATCGATTAAATAATAGATTTAATGATGAAAACACAAGCTACTTCTATTTCTCTTTCTCTTTGGAGAATGATGATGTAAATGTCTTTCGTTTTCATTTCGTGTAATCGTAATCAATCAGACATTAATTAGTCACACGTATCATTAATTGTGATTTAACTTTCTTTGTTACAGGAAGAGAAAACAGAAGACCCAACAGCAACAACAACAACAACAACAACACATTTCCAGCGTAAGTAAAAAAACAAATGTTTATATATTATATTTTATATTATATTATATTATATTAAAATAGCGATTTGAATAATATAAACAAATTTTGCAAGTACATTTTTTTATTCAAATCACTATATGCACATCATTTTCTCTTAATTTAATTATTAATATTAATACATAACGTTTAACATGCGTTCGTAAATATTTATTTGCACAATAAATCTCAAACAAGTTGTACTTTTTCATTAAATTTACTTTTTCTTGCTTTTTTCTTTCTTTTTTTTTTTTTTTTGTTGCTTCAAATATTTCTGTAAAAAATAATATTAAACAATATTACAATGATATTAGGTTTCGGCTTTTTGGAAATGTGTGTTTGGTATTATCACGTGCACGCAAAAACAAAACAAACTATTATATATGTAATTTATTTTATTATTATTTTTTGTTTGTTATTACGCGTCGATAAAACTAACGTTCATGTTTCGTAAAAAAAAAAAAAGAAACTTTTATTCAAAAGATAATTTTCGTTAAATCGTATTAAACGGAACGATTCGATCGCAACCATAGAAAATTGTATACGCCTATATATATATATCTGTCTCTCTTTCGTTTTCATCTTTTCTCGTTTAACGACGAATTTATGACCACCCGACGGGATATCCTGTCATATTTCATTTCCAGTTCGAAACGAAAACCGATTAACATCAATGTGGTGCCTCCTGCGCGTGTGCCTATCACAAACGTTGTGTCATTCTGTGAATTATTCGCGACGGTCAATATTATTTTCTAATTCGCATAACTTTTCGTCAAAATTACGAATTGATTTTTAGTAAACGATTATTATTCAATCATATTCCATTATTTTCATTGAAAAACAAACTAATTATTCCTAATTATCCAATATTTTGGATATGTGAATTAGAGATCGTTCAAAAATTTTTCTTCTTCTTCTTATTGTATTTGAATAACTGAAAAGACTAGAAATGACATTTTTTTGTTTATTTTTCAATTTTGAAATAAACGCATAATAATTACAAGTTAAACGTTGTTTCTTATCTCAAATTAAAACGAACAAAAAAAAAAAAAAAAGAAGAGAAAAATGTTACTAGCACAAAATACTTTCACCCTTTTTAACCGATTTATATTGTAACCAACGCGTATATATATATTATATTTGAACAATTTGTTGCATAGTTTTAATTTGTTCAATAATTTGGATTTTTTTAAAAATATAGAGATCTGTATATTATCAATTCGAAATGTGACGATTTTGATAAATAACAATTTTCCAATTAACAACGAGTATTGTTTTACTCTTCTTTCTCTTTCTACTTTGTTAACAATCTAATCGCTCAAATATCATGAACGGTTTATTTTTTTTTCCTCCTCCTCCTCCTCCTCCTCCTCTTACAGTTTTACAAAGTTCATAGAATTTAATCTACCCACTCGTGTAACAATTTAAATCGTCGAATAACGTTTATAAACATTCGTCGGTTACGTGTAACAAACTTTCGAATCATATTTCGTAAACGAGTCTCTGGGACGTTCGTATTTCTTCATTTTGTATACGCAAAGTAACGTTAATCGTGACGCATTTAATAACGTTCCTCTTTTCATCACTTCTATTTCTCTCTCTCTCTCTCTCTCTCTCTCATTCTCTTTCTCTCTTTCTCTTTCTCTTTACCCTCGAATAACGTTTAACAGAGTTTTCGGTTTCGACCCCCACACTCTAAACTGCCTCTAATAATCACGGTACACGCCCTCGAACCCAAAAACTGGGTCATATAACCCCGTTTATATCGACGAAAATTAACGCTCATTGTATGAACAAACTCATCATCCTACAAATGAAATAATTCATTTCCATTTCTTAATGTTTTCTTTATTTTATTCTCTCCAAAACGAAATATAAATTTAATTCGGATAATAGTTTTTTTTTTCTTTTTTTTTTTCTTTTTCACACAATTCAATTTCTAAATTGTCAGATGAATATTTTATCACGATGGACATAAATAGAATTTACAATTTATCGTATGTTGTTGTTTCTTATATTATAAAATCAAGTTCTTTGCAAATAAATAAAATATATATATATATATTTATTTCAAAAAGAGAAAGAGAGAGAAATAAAATTATAATTTAATGTAATATATAAAATAGATACAAAGAAAGAAAAAAAAAAGTATAAATGAATTTGCTAATTATTATCGAGTAAGCAACACGCGACCTTGTTCGATAACATATATACACCCACATAGGTAACACATATACTACTCACACACACACACACACATATATATACTCATTTATATACTTTGTTAGAGGAGTTGCTTGAAACTGGAACGATAAGGCGTTTCGGTTTCGTCGATTTGTTCGCAACAAGTCGCGATAAAACGATGAGAATCTGTCTCCATTTCTTTTTTGCTTTTTTTCTTTCTATTTATTTACTCCCTTCTCTCTCTCTCTCTCTCTCTCTCTCTCTCTCTCTTTCTTTCTTTCTCATATTTTTTTCTGGTTATTTATCGCGAGAACGTTATCTTCGGTCGGTCGTTTCTACACTTGAACGAAGAAACACTTTGCAAACGACAACGATATATAACGTTGAGTAGGATTAATTATTGTAGAATTTTTTTTACTACTCCTATCTTTTATTTAATATTTTCTTCTTCTTTTTTGTTATCTTTATTATTATTATTATTATTATTATTATTTTGTTATTAGATGAAACATTTCAATTGATATTATTACATTCAAATTTTGCATTCCTTTCTCGTCATATCGAAAAAAGAGTAAAGTATAATAATAAAATAGGACGACCGTATAAGTCCTTCCCCCTCTCTCCAACCCAACCCCCTAGTTCCCGAAACCCCCCACCCCACCTGTATACAATTAATCCAAATTTTCTAGTATTCATTCCCGTATTATTCAACATGATACTCGAATCAAGGAATATTTTTTCTCTATCTGTTTCTTTAGTACGCATAATTAAGAGTATTCGATTAAATTCATTCCAATATATTACTGTGTTTAACATTATATGTATATGTGTGTGTGTGTTAAAAGAATAGAATTGACGCGTATAATTAATGTAAATTAATTTACATATTCAGGTATTATAAAGGTACATAAATGTATCAAAATAACACAAGATTTAGGTGTATCTGATTATATATTTTAGCGTGTAGGTACATGATATTAAATTAAAATCTAAGATAATCATACGATAATTATCCGTTTTCGTATTTTTTTTTACATAGATTAATTTGAAAGTAATTAATAACATTTATGAAAGATTTCATAGATATACTAGTATATATATTCGTCTAATAAACTATACTTTACAACTAACTAATCGTCTACTTTCGTCTAACAACTCATTGTCAAATGCGTTACACCTTTTAACGTCTTCTGATCATTTGTTGTCTAACATCTTTCTCGTCGTTATCAATTTCTGATTCGTCAATTACATGGCGTGATCTTTCGCAAATCAATCACACATATATATGCAAATTATTCGAATAAATACGTTCATTAACTTTCTGTCTGTCTTTCTCTCTCTCTCTCTCTCTTACTTATATTCCCACACACGTTCTTTGCAACATTTTCATCATGCTACAATATCGTTATGATTGATTGTGTCAAAACATTCGAATAATCTTTCCCCGATATAGAAACTTTCCAATAATTTATTGAACATTTTCACGTCACTGTATTTTAGAACAGATATGATATTACATTCGTATCTGTAAGAGGATGTTAATCAAGTCGTTAACTAACCACCTATCGTAGACCATTTCTTTTCCGTGTGTTGTAATACCGTTTACTACTCCCTCTTAACCCGTTTTTCGCTTCGATTTAACACAACTGACCTACATTGACGTATACCGGTGATTAGTGGAGTCTCGTTACGCGCTCTCATCCGAGATTTCATTCTGCATTTCTCGTTTCAACCGATAGATATATACTCTGTGTGTGTGTATATGAGGGGACAGTTTCATACACACATTGGTGTATGATTGTATTCAATGATAAACCTTGTCTCTCTCTCTCTCTCTCTCTCTCTGTCTCACTTTTTGTTTTTCATATATATATATATTTTTTTTTGTTTTAATTTTATTTCCGTTTATTTGATTTTTCTATTTATTTATATGTAGATATATCGGTATCACAGTGAGATAATTTCGATCTCCGTTCGGATAATTTTAATTACTGTACCAATCGGTGGTAGCTAACTGTATCTTCTTTATCTCTCTCTCTCTCTTTCTATTTTCTCTATCTATTTTTCGATTCAACTACATATACAAGCTAGCCAGAATTGGTTGAAAAAGTATTGCCAGTAAAAGCAATAAACGATCGTAAACGATTTGCCGCACACGTATGATGTACATATCTATGAATAGCGAGAGTGTACGGATACGAATCGTTTTTGTTACGGATATTGCCAGTTCGCGATTGCTCCAGGACTCGTCTTTTTTAACATCATTGCGTGGCGGGAACAAACACACGTACATACATGCATATATATATATATATATATGATCACATACATATATATCTATTCGCAGATATATAGTATCGATACTAAGAAGTATGTGGATTGAAACGATTCATCTTAAAGTAACAATCTATTTTTACACGTCGTCGTAATTGTCTTCACGGTAAGATTAAATTAAGTATCTCAAGTTTGATACGGGGTCCAATCAAATTCGTCATCTTAAATTGAGAAAATCTAACGTTTCTTTTTCTACGAATAATAATAATAAAGAAATGAACAATTACGAGAGAAAACTTTTCATATTCGAGTTATATCAGGAATTAATTAACTGATTAAATATATGATTAACTGATGATTATGATTAACTGATTATATATATATATATATATATGCGTGTAATAGTAATAGATATAACCTCATAATTTTGTTTGAACTTTTGGAATTTTGGTCACAAATATAAAACGTATATAATCGTCGATAATCGGTTGGTTGTTATATGAATTCATAAAAATTCCATACGGTTATCTCTTCGTGGATTTAGTGACAATGATAGAGCTCGTTTCTACCGGTTTTGTTTTCCATCCGTTTTCACCCTTTCTACGCGACCGGTATGCCTGGCAAAATTGTTCTCCCCTCCTCTCTTTCCTGCCCCCTTCTCCCCCTTTTTTCCCTATCCTTCTCTTGTACAGTCGGCACTGTATAGAAGTGAAATTATTACGAACGTTTGTAACTGTGCGATGATGTTTCCTCACACCAATGTTGAATTTCTCTTCTCAATATTTTTTATCGTTAGATACACATACATACACATACACACACATATATGTATACTCGTTTGCGCATGTTTTTTTTTACGTGCTCAAGTGTTCATGTTAAATACATGAGGAAAGTTATTCGTGTAAAGAAATATAAATTTTATCATAAATGTTATCTTCTTCTTCTTCTTCTTCTTAATATATATACAAATTTGTGTCACGTTGTTTGTCCGCAATGGACTCCTAAACTATTGAACCGATTTTAATCAAATTTTGCACACTTTGTGCAGTTTCATGCAACTTGAAAGATAGGATAGTTTATATCTCAATTTATAATCGAATTATTTGTTTATTAACAAACGAGTCATGATTATCTCTGTTAGATCGATAAGATTTTAACAGATGGCGGTTATAAGGTAATTCGTTGACTTAAAGAGACGTGTGTATCGGACTAATTGTGAGCTACAGGGAAAACGCGTGACACACGAGGCACCCCTAGTAATAAATAAGAATATAATAAAGTTAGTAGTAGTACTGTAAATTTAGCTAGATAAGTTTTCAAGTGATTCCCCAATTCGCACAAAAAAAAAAAAAGACGACAACGTTAGATTGTGTCTAGTGGAATTCATCGGCTTTCATCTTTGTTTTTCTCTTTCTCTCTTACAAACCACTTACTTACTCTCATTCTACCCATCAAACCCCTCTTAACTTTCATCCCCTTGTATCTTTCTTTAATGACTAAGAGAACTTACTTTCATTCTTTTTAGATGGTAAAAGAGCAAAAGTGAGAGATGTAACTTTGGTTCTTTTTTATTAGTTACAGATAGTTTTAGTATCCCAAGTTATTATATATAGATGTCGTTATGAAAGTTTTTGTCAAAAATTTTATATTCATCTTTAAAAAAAAAAAAAAAGAAAACCAATAAAAATATATATAACATTCAATGTTCTTTCGGGAAGTTATTACTTTTATTTTGTTAATAATTTTAAATAATATATTATCACATTATTATTATTATTATTAATTAACAATTCAATTATCAAATATTATCACTAATAAATAAATCGTTGCACGAGAGTCAATTTTAGATGGTCGATCAAAACTTTTGTTTCCTTTTTGTCTTTTTGTCTTTTTTTTCGATTGCTAGTTTAAACTCGCTCATTAATTCGTTCGTTTCATTATCAACATGCTTAAATTTATGAAAGTTTGTTCATAGTTTCAACTTTATAAGCAATTCATGATCTCTTTTACTTCCCTCTCTCTCTCTCTCTCTCTCTCTCTCTATCTTTCTTTCTCTCTCGTATTCTCTAGGGAAATAGCGCGTCTTCTTTTTATGGGCTGAAAAAGCTAGAGGACCACAAGGGTCGCGTCGAAGCAGAAGGGCTTCGAACGTGCTCGATGAAATGGAGTTTCCAGCGGAAATGGATTCGACGATGGAACTCTCTCTCTCTCTCTCTCTCTCTCTCTCTCTCTGTCTCTCTCTATTACCGCGCTGATATCGAAGCTTGCTCTTTTTTTCTTCTATTTCTTTTCTTTTTCTTTCTTTCTTTCTTTCTTTCTCTCTTTCTCTTTTTCTCTCTTCTCGTACTTTCTCGTTAAAACCCATACTACCATTTTTAATCTTCGTCCTGTGAGATTTACAAAAATTTTCTTTGGCTTTTTTTTTTTTTACTTTCAATCCAAAATCCGATTGATTTCAACATTTTTCAACATGGATTTTGAATTTGAACAAGTGTTAGGAAAATCTCTTTAACACGTGTCTCTCAAATCACAAAAAGAAATAAAACATATAATACGCGAAGGCATATTTCAAAATGTTTTTTTTTTTTTTAATTAATTTATTTATTTATTTATGGGGAAGTATGTATGTATGTATGTGTGTTTGCGTGACACCTTTCGTTTATTAACTTGGTAGAAATGCAACGACGTTCTTGCTACAATAAGAATTATGCTCGCGTCGTTTTCCACGGTATAGAAAGAGAAAAAAGGAAAAGAGAAACAGAAACAGAGAGAGAGAGAGAGAGAGAGAGAGAGAAGGAAGAGTTGCATGTACATTTTCATGGGTCTTGTTTATTTGATGCTTTCCTACGAGCTTGTAATGCGTTACCAGCTCGCAGACCTCCTCTAAGGGTTCCGTTGTGAGGTAAAGTGGAGGATCACGCGAGGGCAAGGTGGAAAGTCGAGATAGATAAAGAAAGAGAGAAAGAGAAAGAGAGAGAGAAAGAGAAAGGGAGAGAGAATGTACTAACAAACAGGTTCTCTCTTCCTTCCTCTAGGATGACGAAGTGAGTTATATCCTTGCGGTGACAGAGGGAAACAGATTCAACTTTGAGATTAGAGAGAGAGAGAGAGAGAGAGAGAGAGAGAGAGTACCGTTTTTCTGGAAATTACCAAGATTAACTCTTGCATGACACCAAGTATAGTCTTTTACTATTCTTAGCAAGTCGTCCCCTCTTCCTTTCGATAACTAGCACGAGGAACCAACAGTTGTTATCATTCTTTAAAGCCTTAAGTGTTTGAATTTTTTTTTTTGTTTTTTTTTTTTTTCAACTAATTACGATAATTATCATTTGTTATCATTTTAAATGAGTTCTCGGTGTTTTTTTTTCTCTCTCTCTCTCTCTTTCTTTTTTCTTCTTTGATATGTGCGTTAGTTTGTTAGAAAAGTTATCTTATGTGTAAAACAGGTAATGTAATAGCATGGAAATTTTCAAAGTTATTCAATCAATATTTTTGTTTTTTTTTTGTTTAAATAATGTTTACATATTTAATTAATATTTTATATCATTTAAAATAGAGAGAGATTTTTTTTTTTCTTAAAATCAATCGTATTCTCATTTCAAAAATAACAATTGAATATGCAAATTGCGATACAAACTTATTTTTTTTTTTTATAATTCAATATAAAAGTATAGAAAGGAAAACATAAAAAAATAATAAATCTGTAAATATATATTTATATAATATACCAAATGATAAAAGGTAAAAATATTTCTGACAACGAGAGAAAGAGATAAAGAGAGAGATAGATAGATAGAGTGAAAGAGTGAAAGAAAGAAAAAGAAAGAAACGCGATCGTATCCGGCATCCAAAACGTTCCCACGGATACTCTTGGGGAAGTATTTCTAACGTTCCGGAGAAGCGATCGTTAAACTCCGTCCTGTGACTCGAGAGGATCGATTTAGCGGATTCACAGCGATCGGTGTAGCCACTCGTAGAGCTTCTATAGCCTTCTCTAGTAGATGATTCGCCTTTTGCTTCCGTACGTACTACGATCTAGAATTAGATTGTCTGACCAGTTACTATGATCCTTTAGACTCTAAACACACGTATACACAAATATACACATATATACATATAAATATATATATATATATATATAAATATATAAAATAGGTGTTAGTGTGTAAAAATACTAAGTTGGTTGATTGGTTGATTTATAAAAGAGTACAAATCTGTTCAGTAAAAAAACATTTTAGAGATAGATCAAACTTTTATCTTGCGTATTGAAATGTAGAAAAAAAGGTCTTTTAGATCTTTTTTTTTTATATTATCATCGTTTGGTCGAACAAAGAATATTGAAACGTTGGTAGTGTATGAGAGGAGGAGGATCTGTTAGAAGGGCGAAGCTAGGCAGGCAGGACTCGTACACGGCTCGGTCACATCCACTCGAGGACGCAGGACAGAACGTTTAGGGTCGATGCCCTCACACGGTTTATCTCCGTGTTCGGTGCTCTACGTATATTTCGTCTCTCTCTCTCTCTCTCTCTCACACACACACACACACACACACACATACATTTTCTCTTCCACTTATACTTTTCTATATTCCTCTTTAACTTTCTACATCTCTCTCTCTCTCTCTCTCTCTCACTCTCATTCTTTCACACATGCATTTATTCGCTTGGCATACTTCGTATACTCGCAATACGTTTTTTTTTTTTAACACGATCAAGGGTAAAAGGAAAACCATCCCTAATTGTTTTGTTCTTCTCGTGTGTTTTGTTTTATTTTGTTTTTTGTACATTTATACAAACTTTTAGAACAACTCTTATTTTCTTTTCTGTTCAAAGTCCACCCGGACGACGACATTTATTTTTGTCTCTCGTGTATCGTTGTGTGATCCCGTTTGGGAAAAGTACAGTAGGAATGTGTCGTCGTCTTCGTCGTTGTCGTCGTCGTCGTCTACTCTTTGAAAGTGCCAACTCTCGAGATTTCTCACTTTTGAGAGAGTTGTTTTATCGAAAGACTAACGCTTATAGGGTGATAATAGAGATAAAGAGAAAAAGAAAGATAAAGAGAGAGAGAGAGAGAGAGAGAAAATATCGATGGTACTATAGGAAGAAAGACAAAGTAGTTGAAGAGAATGCGTAAAACAGGTACTTAAGGTAACAATGAACGATCGACTAGCTCGAGTCTTTCATTCTCTTTCTCGTTTAGTTGTGTGTTCGTGTACGGTATTTGATCTTTACTACTGTATACAGTAGCAACGTCATCCCTTTTAAATCTACCTCCGATTAGTTGTTCGTGATTTTCTAGGATTTTCATCAAATGTAGTACTACATAAACACATTTAACATTTGTTTTGATTTATTTAATTAAACGCTAAAGATAAATATGTAAATCTTATATATATATTTTATAAGTATTTGTACATATAATTTATTATCAACGGATATATTTAATCAATTTTTGTGTGTTTTGCTTTTTGATTACAGAGATCTAGAACTGGACTTAAGATTATCCGAAGAAAGCGACGATGAAACGACAACTAGGGTGAGTAAAATAATCATCGAGTTATCATATCATTAACATAATTTGCCCATTAAACGATTAAACGAGAAAGTAATAAAAAAAAAAAAAAAGAATAAAGAAAACAACTAGCACGTATGTTAATCGATAGAAAACAAGTAAYAGAAGTAGTAATAGAGTAGTAGTAGTAACTTGGACGCGTTTGTGAAAGAAAACAAAAAAAAAAAGAAAAAAAAGAACAAACTCTGCTGCACACTAGAATAAAAGTTTCCTTTTTCCCTTCTATCGACTATGTTTCTCTATCGCGATTCAATTCTTCCATTTTGTATTCCTTCTTCAAGAATACTTCCGCAGGTTGGTATCACCTGCTTTCAATCGATGATAGAGTAAGTTGATAGAGGTTCATCATATTTCGCCTTTTAATGTAAATTAAATCGCGTTTATGTACTTGTGAAAATCATTCGAGTAATAATATTATGATTAATTTGTTACTATAGGAGACACCGGCAAGACCTATCAGAGGAAATAGGAGTCCGCATCTACCCTTAAGGTTAGTATTGCATTTATATATATATATATATATATAAATATTTGTAAAATATTTGTAGAAATAATATTTATATTAAATGAACGATGTTGAAAATTATGATTTATAGATATCATTCATCTTGCAGTTTAACAACACCATCGTTGCCAAGTATGGTACCGGGACCTACACCAACAGAATTGTCACCAATACCGATGTCACCTGTCGGTGCATTATCACCCACGAGGCCATTGAATTTGCCTCGACCAACATCATCGCCGATGAAGAAAAAGTCACCGGAAAAATTGCCTACGCCACCCCCGATAAGTCCAATACCATCGAAAGATTCACCTAATCTAAATCATAGACCACCCAGTCCACCCGGTCAAGCACCTCCAAGTTCACCCAGTGGTAGCTCGAGTTCGGATTCAGGGTCTGATTCCGGTAGTGAATCTTCCGATGATTCGGAAGATGAAATGAACCAACCTTCAAACGGCAAGGGGCCTTCAACACCACCACCCATCTCTCCTAAACCTACAGAATTAAATCAACCTGAACCTCCCGAGGTATTACAGGAAACGAAAAAGAGATGGAATCTTAGCAATTTTTATAAGATTACTGTACCAAACAATGAAAAGGATGAAACAAAAACGGCTCAGGTAATTCAACTTTCTTTTTTTTCTTCTTCTTAATTGTTATCTCGTGTGATACTTTAACGGTTTTACAGAAGACAAATTTGTAAAATCCATTCGTTGTGATTGTTTTTTCATGTTGCGTGATTCAATACTGATACGATTTATTAAGAACTTCAACTCTGTCGTGATTATTGAATCACGAATGATTGTTAACTTTCTTCCAATAAAATGGAAAGTTTCCTCGAGAGAGAGAGAGAGAGAGTTTCTATTTTCCTAGAATAATAATCCTTTTGTAATTGAATAAATCGAATTGGATATCGATTTTTAATTTTTTAACATTCTTTTGTTATATTTTGTTGTCAGGGTGGAGCAAGGTTGGAACAGACAACGCTTCAAACGTCCGAAACTCAAGAAAAAAGTCAAGAATGGCAATTGGACGATGCATTGAAGCATATGCACAATACAAATATGATGCATATGCTTAGTGACACTAGTCATATGTCGGATAAAAATCAAACTGGAGAAGAGCATCGTTATGAGGTAGAGAAACCTAAAATGACGGATACGAAAAAACGTGGTCGACCAAGGAAATCGACCAAAAGTCCAAAGGGTGATCAAAGAACACCCGAATTTAACAAAAGTACCAAGTCATGCAATAGAATACGATCAAATCCTAAAAAGAAGAGATCCATTTCGAAGGCAATCGTTGAAACGAGTGATGATGATAGTGATGAAATATCGCGGGATAATTCGAGTGATTCGGATAGTGATAGGACAGCACCAACTCCGATCACACCTGCAATGACAAGTATTGGCGATAAACGAAAATCGAGGCTTAGCATATCATCGAGTGAAGACGAGAGTCCTCCCAATGGAAAGAATAGCGCATCCGAGAGCGAATCAGCACGTTGGAGGAGAACTGCCATGAAACAACGTACCAAACTTGCAGACTCTCCGAAAAAACTGGATAAGAAGAAAAATCCAAGTAAGGGTAAACCAAGAAGGCCCAGATCAAGAATTACCAGCATTAATGCTGGTTCCGATTCAGACAGCGAGTCTGACGTCACTATGAGAAATCGCATACAAGTGACTAGGTAAGAATCATTTTTGATAAATAACACTGTAATAATAGAGACAAATTATTTTATATTTCTTACATTTATTTTCTTATTTTTATTTATATATAATACTTTAAATACTAAATAATAAAATGCTAATACTAAAAAATCCTTTGACTGTGTCAAGGAACACAGTTTGTATTGAAAAAATAATTGAATAGTTGGGAACAATTAGGTGTTTAAATGTTGAACAAACAAGTGTTAATTTTTGATTTTTGAACGGTACTTCATTTTATAGGGTTCAATCCAGATCAAGAATAATACCACCACCAAGAACAAGTTCTCTGGAAAATTCTGATAGCGATAATAGTCCAACTCCTAAATTGCAAGAAGATGATGCTGGTAACGTCCAGGATAAAAAGAAGAGTGACACCTTGCGAAAATTGTTTTCGATATCTAAAGGTGGCGCGAAAGGTGGTGGTAAAGGTGGAAAAGGTGGTGCGAAAGGTGGCAAGGGTGGGGGAAAGTGTGGTATTTATGTTCAGGAGTATACGGCATCGGCTAATACGCCGACGAACGGTAGTGAAAGTCCGTACAGAAGGCCAACATCGCAATCTTCGAACAATGTAATGATGCCTCCGTTGACTTATAAGAACGGCATGCCGAGTCTAATGTGCAGGATCGATCTTAATAGAATAGCTCATATATCGTCGAGAGGACAGGAATTCAGGCAACATACAGAACTTCCGGATACCAGGCCATCCTGTGGGCCATCTTCTAGGCCACCTTCTAGACCACCTTCTAGGCCATCTTCTAGGCCATCTTCAAGGCCATCTTCGAGACAATCTTCAAGCCTACATGCTCTATTATCAAGACCAGATACTCCAGAGGAAGGGGAATTAATCGATGCCTCGCCTGCCAGGCAACGTTCTTCCGACGGTGGTAGGATTCGTGGTGTTGATAGTACCGGTGTTGTGGATAAGTGCGACAAGAAGAGTCGTTCGAACTTAACGAAAAAATCCTCATCCCAGCCATCAAGTTCAAAAAACTTAAATGGTAGTGGCACTCGCAGTGCTGGAAATAATGTTGTCAGTGCTGGTAACTCTAGTGCCACTAATACGTCTAAAAGAAAACGTAATACGAGCAGTAGCTCGGGGTCTAGTTTAAGTGCTACATGTTCCACGGATGTTAAGTCCAAACCCGGCAGTTCTGAGCCCAAAGAAAAAAGGAGGAAGCTCGAATCGGAATCAACCACGTCTAGGCCTTCTTCAAGTAAGGTAATTCATTCATAATTTTTTTTTCTCCAAATAAAAATGATTTCATATTCATGTCGTTATTGACTTTTATTTTAATAGATCGACAAATTACATTCAATACTTATCTAGATTTTACATTTATAATAGGTGAACGAAAACCTACCACCAACTAATCACGAGCGGGAAGAAAGGACTGATGCGACTTTATTACCACCCCCACCCCCACCACAACGTACCTATTATTCGTATTTTATCGACCCGCTTAACGACGTTTCTGAAGATCATGACAGGTAAAACAAATTATTCCTCTTAAAAATAACTTATCGTTTTGTTAATTGCTTAAACGTTTTTTTTTTTTTATCATTATTCTTTTTTTATCATCTATACTTTATAATGTCTATGGCCTAAAACTGAAAACTTTCCCGGCCCATGAGTGCGCATCGCGGCCACTCCCTCCGTACCGAAAGGGTTAAATGACAATACTTTTATCCTAATATATTAGGGACCAGAATCAGTACCTGACAGAAGCAAAACGGTTGAAGCACAGTGCCGATGAAGAGATCGAACTTACAGCACAAGGAATGTTGTACTTGGAAGCCGTTTTATATTTCTTACTTACTGGCAACGCCATGGAGTCTGATCCTCTTACGGAACGAGCGTCGTTCACCATGTACAGAGATACCCTCAGCCTCATAAAGTGAGTCAATCTTTAATTAACTACAAACTCCCTCTTTTAAGAAGAGGGAGAAAAAGAGAAAAGAGAGAGAGAGAGAGAGAGAGAGAGAGAGATAGGAATACTTGTTAATTAAAGCAATACCTACAATTTGGTTATATCTTTATTCCAGATATATCTCATCAAAGTTTAAGAGCCAACAAAATAACTCGCCAGAGAGCGGTATAAATAACAAGTTAGCTGTCCTGAGGTGAGTACCATTCACTCGAGACTCTTTTACATTCTCCCCTCAATGATTATTACGTAGTACCGTACACACAATATTTTTTTTATTATTCCTCAACAATATTTTTGTTCTTTTTTCTTTCAGTCTTTGGTGCCAGTCACTTTTATATTTGAAAATGTTCCAAATGCTCAAAATGGATGTTAAAGAGTATCAGAAGATTCTTAATGAATATCATCAAAAAGTAAGTTAACGTTTTAAAGAAAATTCTATAAGATGATGTTGTTCATCGTCATTAATTTTGTTTAGCTTAAAAAAAAATAAATAAAAATAAAAAACAAGAAGATTTAATGAAATTTTTCATTGTAGCCCGCTCAAGCAACGCCAGTGCTACAGGAAGGTCAAGGTACACCTTCTTTGTCTCCGACACCATCTCCCGCTGGTTCCGTTGGCAGCCAAAGTTCGGGTTATAGTAGTGGAGAATTAGCAGCTAATAGAGCAGCTGCTGCACCTCCGCCTCCTCCGCCAGCACCACCCTGCGTTAGCGTTCCTCTTCACGTCCATAATGCCATGATAAAACAAAATTATTATTTTAGTTTGTTGCTTACCTGTCACGATCTTTGGGAACAAGCTAACGCTTTAGTAACGGATGATCATAAAGGTTTGTATAAAATATTACGATATCTCATTTATTATATTTCATTATCTAAAGAAAAATTATATTGTTACGATCAATCATAACTTTTTGTTTGTTTTGTTTTCATCAGAGTTTTTTATCGAGCTGGACGAGAGGATGGGACCCCTCACATTGAACAGCTCCCTCTGCGATCTGGTGCGTTACGTAAAAGCCGGAATAAAGAAGCTACGTGCTCTCTGACCACAATGGCACAGCCCCCGACCACCCACCCCCAATTATATTACCTCGCTACCACAAAACATTGCAACTTATCCAACGATGTTCACGTAAATCTTGCGTGATCGCTCGCTTATACGACACTTGGGCACACAATTTCGTCGTAAGCGCAACCTCCCATCGATTATGAACTTTGGAAAAAAAGAAAAATAATTGTTTTCTTTAGCGAGGAGGAGGAGGAGGAGGAGGAGGAGGAGGAGGACTCTATTAGTGGAATAATAATCCAATGGATTGTTTTTGTAGAAAAAGAAAATTGCGGGGGATAAGGGAAAATTATCATAAAAAAGAACAACAAACAAAGGAAATTTAATAATTGGTCACGGGGTGCGAAGGAAAGAAGTTAGTAGAAGAAAAAAAAGAAGAAGAAGAAGAAGAAGAAGAAGAAGAAGAAGAAAGGAGAAAAAAAGAAAAGAAGTAACGC